TGCTTATTAATGTTAATAAAGGGTTAATAAATAGAGTGAGATATAAGATACAAAATTCACTTTCTTGTGTCTTATATCTCACCGATACTCACTCGATGTATGTAGTTGAGACATCAAAAATAGCTGGATCGTTTATCGGTTGACTCACATATGGCATAACTATATATGGTGATTCTGATGACGAATGATCCTAGCTGCTTGCGGGTATATATGGTTCACTGCTGGTAGGGACATTAGTTTGCAGAGAAGTTGTTTTCCGCAGTATCATTAATTATTAAGTAGTCTAGAAAATATTAAAATTCTGAGAAATAAGTTAAATTTTCAGAAAATTGGTTTTATTTTATGAAAACTATAAATATTTGAACTTTCGCATTATGTTTTCATTTTTTATCTTGAATATTCGATGGCACTTAAAAAAATGTTAGAATGCAATTTCAGCCACATCAAGATTGAAACAGTCTGATTAAATTTTACCTGGCAATATTTACTTCTGGTTTATCGAACTAGCCTCCGAATTTAATCGTGGATGTTTAATTTAGCATTAATTCGCCATTTTTTATTCCTGTTTACTGATTTGTACAAACTATAGCCTCTGGCCGAATACCTCATCAATCAGTGCATCCTACAAAAATGTTTGGTTTATCAAGAAATAGTCTGGCCCAATGTTCAATTTTTTTTAACTTTGTTTTAGCGTGTCAAGTTTATGCAACTGTTGATCTGTAAACAACAGAACTCATGAGTTACTGGGTATGACTTTTGTAAATGTATACCTATTTCTTTCTTTTTACTATATCTTAAATATTAGTTTTTTATTTTTGTCTGTTTGGCTGCTCTTTAAATTCTTTTTAACGTTTCATTTTTTTTTCAGTTGTATATTATTTTTATTTATTTTATTATTATTTTGTTTTTTATACTGGTATTTGTAGCCTGTAATCGAAAAATTATTTAATAGGACAATATGATTTCTATATTTTCCAAAGAAGAGTGAAGTTCTGTAAAATAAATGCGATGTGTACAAGGTGAAATATAAAAGGGACACACTCTTGTCGTGGAATATGAATATCCGCAGGCATTTCGGGACCCCACGTTGAACGCCATGTCGTGGAATATCATTAGATGTATCCCTCGGCAGTATATTAAGGTAGTCTTGTATCTCCATACCCCTGTTACTGAGTTGCGCGACAGTACCTGTTAGTCAACTTGGAACAATGGACACGCTCTAATATTTGTACCTAAAACGCACCTAAGCACATCGAAATGTTTTCGTGTGAGGCTCTCAACTGGACCTCCTTTTTTCGCATTTGGTACTTTTTGCTTATTCGTACTGGTGAGTTTAATACTCTGGTGACATTTTGTCACTGTCTGTTGACTCGACTGGAGCACTTATTGTTTTTGAGTACCTGATTTGAAAGCTTTAGGAGCTTGTAGCGTGAGACTTAGAGTGCATGGTATGGGAGCTTTAGGAACTTCTGTTTGTGAAGCCTCCCTGGAAGCTTGTATCGCTCAAGATCTTCGTCGCAGGCTCAAAAACTCCGGCAGATATGAGCATCGAGAGCTTTGGGGGCATAGAGCTCGATAAATTTTTGTGAGAAAAGTTTAATCCAGTTTTTGAACTTATAAAATTTGTGATATAACTTTTTTGCCAATTTACAATAAATGGAAGCAATAAGTAATGCAAAATCAAAAATTTGGAACGTGCATGTAGAGTACGCGGGTTGACTTTCGAACACAGTCCTGGCTGGGTCCGCAAAGGTTCTGCAATGGTGTCCGCGTTGAAACTGAGAAACTGGCCTCATTGAAAAACACCCTGGGTGTAACTTCGAGGAATTATTGTACTGAAAATTATTTCATTTAATGGTGACCATGAGATCCGAATTTCATAAAATTTTAAATTATTTTATTTTCCGAAAATCCGGAACTGTGATGGTCGGTAGTGTACTCCACTAGCAACAACCTGTTACAGCTAATAGTGCTTGTCGGCAATTGGGGCATTGAAAAAATTTCTAAACATGCTTAAAACTTTGTTTTCTCGCTCTGCGCCCCGTATGAAAAAATTACTCTTTCCCGATTTTACTAGCAGTAATTATACGATCACAGGAAAATCTACGGTAATATTTTTTACCGGAAAATATTTAAGATTTTAGTATTCGGTGGTTTTGTCAGACCTACTATAAAATCCAGTCCAATAAATAACTATTTCTGATGTTGCTGCTTGTCAATTCAGTCGCTAGCCTGTATTTTTCTTACTCAATTTTTAGTATCGAGAAGTTGTGTGTAAACATTTGTGGATCCCAACTTAATTTTCAGAGTTCTTATTCTGTTCTTCGATCATACTTCTTTCGTCACATTCGACGTGTAACTGACAGGGATAGTCTACCTTTTCAAATTTGTTTCAACTTCAGAATCATAATATTACGTTGGGTAACATCGTTGGAAACTTACGCTCTTGTGAGGATTTAAAATTAACTTCATATGCAATAAAAACACTAGATACTGTACTCATTATGATATTTAATTAAACACCTTGAAAATTTTGTCATGTATGATACTTACATAATTAAAAAAATGTAATTTTAGAAATGGAAAATATTTGTTAATTAATTAATTGTTACATCCTTTAAAACGACAGTTCATTATCTGCCAAAAGCGCCCTTTCAGTGATACTCTGTAGGTATTAGTAGATGATTATGTTGTTTTTTCCTTTTCATAATGTTAATTAGCTATAAATATTTATATTTAAAGCATGCCTAAATTACTAAACTAATTTAACTGATACTGTAGTATTATTATGTCTAAAACACCCTCTATATATCTATTAACTTTATCCATTTCCTTCCTTAATCCTTGATGTAAAACTCCCACAATATATCTTGTATCAATATTTGGGTTAAACTGTTGTAAGTTTAATATTCAAAACTCAGTTGACAGATGACCTAGTTCATAGCAAAGCAATTAAAAGTATATGAGCAAAATATGATCAGCATGGGTTTTATAAGCTACGCTATTGTCAGTATAAAGAAGGCATATACCTTAAAGGTTTTTATTTGTTTTTTCTTTGTTCTTTTTGTGAAAAGTACTATTTGTGTTCAATCGATACATTTGAAATGATTTTCTATTTTTTCTATTTTAATAAGGAGACCGCTTTAAACCCATAAAGTTCAGAAAAAGGTTAGCTCGTCTGTTGTGGTGTATCTTTGTCATTGAGGCGATTTTAGGAACAAGAAAAGAAATATTTTCTACGTAGTATATAGGGTGTTTCCTAAGTACGGTCTGTAACTTCAGGACACAATTTCTTATGGTATTTAAAGAAAAAAGTTCCTATAAAAATGTGGCCGGAAACGCTTAGATTCCGAGGCACAGGTTGTTAAAAATTTTAAAGAATATACAGGGTTGTGATTTAATAATGGATACATTCAATAAAAGAGTGTGTAATTTTTTTTAGGAAAAATCCTCGGACACATCGATTTAGTTTTTAGATTGCGAATATTTTGACATAAAATGTAGATATACAGGGTGCCTCAAAAAAGCATGGCAGAAATTTTAAATGGAACCCCCTATATATTTTTGCATTTTCGGATTTTCCGAAAAATTCTGGACATGTTTTGTGTATAATGTCCTATACCTATCTTCAACTGTTCACGAAATATTTACACTGTTTGTGAATATTTGACATTAGTCTTCACATTGTGTCAATTACTTAAAAGTTTGAACTGTATTGTTAATTGGAATTTACAATGCGTTTAGCTGAGACTCAGAGAATCGAAATATTAATTATGCTTGGCTGTGGTGAGAAAACTAGAACACACAACGAAGTTCGAATAATGTTCAACAATAAATGTCCGAACAGAGAACCTGTAAGTCAGTCTACAATCAGTAGAATTGAGGCTAAGTGGAGAGAGACTGGAACTGTTAAGGATCTTGGCAAACCTGGTAGGCCCGGCGTTCCTAATGACAAAAAACTGGATATCCTTTGCCAGACCATGACCGAAAGAACTGATAATAACCCTAGACTAGTAAAACAGATATGCTTTTCAGACGAGGCAACGTTTTGTTTGAATGGAGAAGTAAATAGGCAAACTTTTAGGTATTGGGCACCATCAGCAAATCCACACTGGTTTACGGAAAGTCATTCTCAGTATAATGAAAAGGTGAATGTATGGGCAGGGATTATTAATAACAGAGTAATAGGACCATACTTCTTTGAAGGATCTTTGACGGGAGAACGTTATCATGACTTTTTAGTAAACGACTTGATTCCAGCACTGGCGACACTGTATCCTGATGAAAATATGCCAGACATGCCAAACCAAGCGTTATGGTTTCAACAGGACGGGGCACCGCCCCATTATGCTGCGATTGTTAGAAGATTCCTAGATGATGTTTTCCCAAACCGGTGGATAGGCAGACGTGGATCAATAGAGTGGCCACCTAGGTCACCCGACCTTAATCCACTGGACTACTTTCTTTGGGGTTATGTCAAAAATNCTGTATTGTTAATTGAAATTTACAATGCGTTTAACTGAGACTCAGAGAATCGAAATATTAATTATGCTTGGCTGTGGTGAGAAAACTAGAACACACAACGAAGTTCGAATAATGTTCAACAATAAATATCCGAACAGAGAACCTGTAAGTCAGTCTACAATCAGTAGAATTGAGGCTAAGTGGAGAGAGACTGGAACTGTTAAGGATCTTGGCAAACCTGGTAGGCCCGGCGTTCCTAATGACAAAAAACTGGATATCCTGGTTTCATTAAACGAAAATCCTAACCTCTCAAGTACTCAGCTCGCTTTAGATAATACAGTTCATAGATCGACTGCAACAAAATTTTTAAAGAAGGAAAAGTGGCACCCTTATAAAATTCAATTACTTCAAGAGCTACTTGAAGATGATCCAGATCGCAGAAACGAATTTTGCCAGACCATGACCGAAAGAACTGATAATAACCCTAGACTAGTAAAACAGATATGCTTTTCAGACGAGGCAACGTTTTGTTTGAATGGAGAAGTAAATAGGCAAAATTTTAGGTACTGGGCACCAGCAAATCCACACTGGTTTACGGAAAGTCATTCTCAGTATAATGAAAAGGTGAATGTATGGGCAGGGATTATTAATAACAGAGTAATAGGACCATACTCCTTTGAAGGATCTTTGACGGGAGAACGTTTTCATGACTTTTTAGTAAACGACTTGATTCCAGCACTGGCGACACTGTATCCTGATGAAAATATGCCAGACATGCCAAACCAAGCGTTATGGTTTCAACAGGACGGGGCACCGCCCCATTATGCTGCGATTGTTAGAAGATTCCTAGATGATGTTTTCCCAAACCGGTGGATAGGCAGACGTGGATCAATAGAGTGGCCACCTAGGTCACCCGACGTTATGTCAAAAATGAAGTGTACAAAGATAAGCCACGCACGCTTGATATCCTCAAAGATCGTATTCATAACGTAATTAGGAATATTTCTCCAGAAACTGTTGAAAATGTACAGCAAGAATTTATCTATCGTTTGGGGTACTGCAGAGCTGTTAATGGCGGCTACTTCCAGCATTTAATAAAATAAACTTCCAGAATGTACATCAATTTATTTACAATAAAGTGTTATTATTTAAACGTAAATATTTCGTGAACAGTTGAAGATAGGTGTAGGACATTATGCACAAAACATGTCCAGAATTTTTTGGAAAATCCAAAAATGCAAAAATATATAGGGGGTTCCATTTAAGAAAAAAAAAATTTCTGCCACGCTTTTTTGAGGCACCCTGTATATCTACATTTTATGTCAAAATATTCGCAATCTAAAAACAAAATCGACGTGTCTGAGGATTTTTCCTAAAAAAAATTACACACTCTTTTATTGAATTTATCCGTTACTAAATCACAACCCTGTATATTAAAATTTGAAATAAATTTGGAACAGTCAATGTTAGGTTCTTAAAATTCGGCAGTTATTGTACGTTGGTAAAGAGCTGCCCAAATTGTTGCTTTTCATTATAAAGCTCTACCTTATCCTCATTATTTTACCCTATTTTAGGGAATATTTTAGAGTTTTGCTAGAAAATTACCTAGTAAATTGGTTTTTGGGTTCCAGATTCAAATTCAGCATCAAAAAATACACAAGACCTATGTACTCACGTCTCTGGTACGGAAGTTTTTTTGGGGCTATGTGGGCGAGATATAAAATATTGCTTGATTTGATTTGAATTTTAATACTTTTCAAAATTAACTAAAATTAAGTAATCCAATAACATATATTAATTTGCTGAGATATGGTGAATATTCTCCTTGCTTGTTTGTTTGCTTACCAGCACGAGAAAAAGATAAAGTGTTAGGAATACAGTAACATGTTATTTTTTTAAGTGTCACAGACTTTTTCTATATCAACGTCTAATTGTTGATGCAGCTCACTTTTTCCAAATAAATTTTGTTTTCTCTTGGTAGCTTAAAAAGTCGGGAAGGATCTCATATTTGTTTCATCGCATATTATTTAGTCTGTACAATAAAATCGAATAAATTTATGTAGTGCAAGATAAAATGTAATACTTTCATGACGGTGTAAAAATAAACAAAAATGAAATATTTAATTCCTATTTATTTTCAGAAAATAAATATTATTTCTAATAATATCCCGCTTCAGCAAAGTCAAAGGGGTTATTTACTAACATCTGAGGTTTTTAACGCTGGCAAGATAGCGACGAGAGTCTCTCTTTTCCTCGGTTCACATTATCACCAACTACTGTACAATCATCTTTTCAGTATTCATTCGTTTTGTAATTTTATTGTTCCATGCTCGAATGGGTCCCAAGAGATGTGTTTCATAAAGAATTCAAGCATATGTGTTCTCTGCTAAATTAAACAAAATTTCATTTTACTTTTTTGCCTTTATCGCTTTTTGGCAGTGATTACAAAGTACAAGTAATCTTGTACTAAACCTCTGGAAGTAATGTAGAAATAAAATATTCCAAATTTCTGCACGTATTTTAATAATGAAACAAGTAAGTTATGTTTGCTTTTTAATATCAATTCAAAATACAGGGCAGGCATTAAGGCGACGATAGATTGGTATCGAATAAATTGATCGATGCGAAGCTTCAGTTCAGACATGTACATGTTATTATACAATTACGCGGATAGTGGGATTACTAACATGTAAAATAGTGATGCTTCAGTACCATTAGTTAAAAAATCATCTATTAAAAACTTAGATTATTCTAGATATGCGCCTGTGCCCTCGGTAAATGTTGAAAGGTCATTTTCGTTTTTGAAATGGGTATTTACCGATCGCCGGAAAGGATTAACTCCGGAGCACTTAGGACAACTGTTGATTTTTATCTGCAATCGCTTTCCTTATGAATGAGAAATTTATTATTTCGTTAGCTTTTGCTGCTTTAACTTATTATTAGATACGTAGGTACTATACCTAGATATATATTTTATGGTAAACATGTGAAGCCTTTAGTGTAGAAAAATATACACTGTCCCTTTTTGTTTCATACTATTTTGCAAATACATACATATTGTTATGTTTTTGATATGTGTGTGAATGTGAATGAATTGAATTTTATTTTTATTTTATTTTACTTTGCCCAGACGCCAATAAGATCTAGTCTTATAAATTATTTCAGTTAAAGCTTGCTCTTTCTCAGGGTGTCTATTTTTTTATATATACGAAATGAAAAATACTATTTAACATAAAATGAACAAAATATATTGCATATATAATTTTGCAGACAATTGACAAGTTGTATTCTTACTTATTATCCGAAATCTACTTTATCCTATACTAATTTAGAAGGTGAAATTTTGATATTTAGTCGACTTTGATATTTTTTAAACAGAATTTTTATAGCTATAAGTTTGACTGTTATATACGAATTCGTATGATGAAAATTTTTTTAAATTGGCCAATTTGTATAATTATGTGACTCACGTATCACTTGAGTGTATGTCTGGTTTCGGATATGTCATCCAGATGTAGTGAACCTCGTCCTGGTCGATGTTGGGTTATGTATGATCTGGATCAACGAACTGATACCATGTACTTGATATTCCAATGGCTGATTGGGTTTGCACTTGCCTGTCGTATTTTCTCACAGCACTTCACTAGCTTTAATTGAAAATATATACCTTGCACTTTTGTTTAAATGACACTTATTCCCATCATATAAATCTCAGTGAATATTTGGACTGTTGAGAAATTTTTGACTGCTGGAATATTTCCACTTTTGACAGTTGTCAAAATACTGCTTGCTGTCGTTTACGTTTGAAAACTGGTAACTACATATACAATTATTTATTTAATTTTGACTGGCTTTTGTTTATTTCAGGAGTGACTGAACGATGAATGACTGGCTACTAGAAGCACTGTAACAGTTTTTATAAATTGATAACAAATGAGGTTGCTGTTATAGCAACATTAGTTTGAAGCTTTATAAAAATTTTACACCGGAATTATGCCTTTATGTATGTCTTTTGCAGCATGACACTGATATATTCGGATTCTACATAATTTTCTGCAAATTTACATACCCAAATTTTTATATTACGTTGATTTTTAAAGTGTCTACAAAATGTTGCTAATTTATTGAAATTTAAGCAAATTATACTATTTAGCTTAATTCTACATATATCACTAGTATTGTTCCACAACATTCATATTAAGTTAACACTATTTTGAACAGTTTTATCTTGTATGATGAATTGACTAATGACTAAAATGTTTTCAGAGGCATCGTTTCTTGACAACTAGTAATGTTTTTACAATAAATGGAATGTAAATTGGGATTTAAATACAGTCTTACATGAATAGAAGGTCTTTTTAACACAACACAGGTCATTTTACATCTGATAAATATCATTTACACAATAAATTTTACACAATGTTGAGTTATGGGTTTGACATTTCGAAAATCGCTATATGAAGTTATCTAAAGAACTTTAATTTTAATTCCACTCATAAATATAGACTAAAGGTATGATGAACTTTAATTGTAGTCTTAGTTTATTGCATGGATTTAATTTATAAGTACAACTCTACTTTGTTCTACGATAAATCTACCTGTCAAAATCTAAATTTTTTAAATTTTCCCAAACCAATGCTCCTATATGATGAATATCTTTACAAAGTTGTACTAGGTTATACATTTTAACTTTCTAGTATGTATTATAGCTTTCATTAAACTATTTAATTTAAAATTTTGCATTATTTAATTTATTTTGACAGATTTATGTTGTCATGTAACGATTTTGCTTTTATGTACTAAAACTTATTCTATACGTTAATTTGTATCCTTCATTTTCTCATATATAGTATAACACATCCCTATTGTCAGAGTTTTCTATTTTGTATGTCATAATTTTCAAAATTTTATTGTAATATGTATTTGTGTATCGTTAGCGGCTTTTAATATCATAACAATATATATTTTTGTAATGTAAAGAGTGCAGTTATCAGAAAGCAACGGTTACGTCACTTTTTGGTTTAGATCTCTAATAAATTATTCATTAATTTCTGCTTAAATCATCAGCAGCCGAAATAGGCATTTTTGAAATTTTTGTATATTTTTGTAATTTATAGACTTCAGAATTTGGCGTATTCGATCTGTTTCTTACCAAATTTGCTTTGACTACTAGCACTAGTTTCTCTGTCGAGTTTATTGTAAACAAAATACACCCTGTACATAATAAAATATACTTTCAGTGCAACAAGACATAAAATATCCTGATTTAAATTTAGTAGCCGCATTCTGGCTGCAAATTTATGTAATATATGGCCTTGAAACTTATAAATTTATATAAAGGAAATAAAATCGCGGTTCTGTTTAATAAATAGTTAGTGCCAGGAAAATATTATCCACATTTCAACAATTGGAATGATGAAATGGAATATTTGTTAGTGTAAGTCAACACGTTTTAAAAATATTATTATACTTATTAATTGCTTGTATTTTGATATTTTTACACAAACACTGTCATTCCTTCTACACAGAGTGGCACATTTGCTGCCATTGCTTGTCTTGGCCCGATTTGTATCAACAATCTGTAATGGTTTATTTCATTATCAAAAATTGTAAAAATATTTCAAGTGGCAAAAGATTGATTATTACCAAAATAACATCTAAAAAATATCTGATGAAGAATTTTTGATATACCGTAAATTTTCAATGAACGTTAGAATTTTTATATGTAGCTCTCCAGCATATTTGAAGATATTGTCGTAGGAATGGATACGAGCTTCAGATTTCGCCCATGTTTTGAATCTACTAACGAACCACGCAAACCATATATTTTTCACGCCAAAGCACTAAAGGCACAGCAGGCCCAAGCAGCGGTCCAACCAGGACAAGAACGTTTATATAAAATTAATATAAAAATTCGCGGATGTTTCGAAAACATGCACGAAACTCCCTAACCGCGACGAACGATCTTCCGCAACATGCAAGACGTTCAACAT